TTTTGCTTTTGAATGGATCTTATGAAGCCATGAACTTGACCTTATTTGTGGTGTTTCCTCCCCTTCGTTAGATGGTTTTTTCGAGTAGATAGAGAGACTTTTGTTTTCGCCATTGAAGTAGTAAGGGGAAACCGATGAGAGGAGGTTTTTTGCGGTGAACGTGGGACAGTGAGTGCTTTTTTTTTTTGTTGGAGAGATATTATCTTCACCGAAAAATCAATAACTTCCAATTAATTATCTCAATTGATTTAAATGGTCACCCTTAGATATATTGACAATATTTTGGATTGATTTTAGTTCAATTATAAATGTTGATATAATAAGTATATAATTATAATATATTTAGAATTTTAAAATTAGGGGTACAAATTTTTCTTCTTCTAATTGTACAAAGCCTAACGGCAAGTTCGGAGGTGTGGCCCCGAGCAAAGAAGATTGGCCCATTTTGGTATAGGCCAACCCAGATACTGAGGGCATGCTTGTTTATGGATTTTTTCAATCCAATTTTTTCAACTCAAATATTTAACTCAACTTTAACTCAACCCCACTATCTTTAATATTATTCATACAATTATATAATAAAAACCAATCATTCTTACACATCACATCAACTTAAATTCACTATTCATCCACTCACATAATTTTAACTACCAATCATTTATCTCCTACTTTATATCAAATCAACTTTAATCATTTTTATTTTAAATATTATTTTAATATATTTTTTAAATTTCACTAACAATTAACCACATTACTTTTTCAACTTTAACTATAGTTAACAACATGAAATATTTTGGTTGAAAAAATCCATAAACAAGCGCCCCCTCACGTTTTGCAAAACCAATTCATGAAAACTGGGAGACAAACTTTGAGAAATGGATTTTCATTTTCACGCAATTAGATTTAGAGCCACTTTTTTTCTTTTTTTTGTACAAGAATCTTCCGGTTTTCGGATCCACAGGGGAACCGACTAATCCGAAATCGAGCCGAGTAGGACCACAAGGACGGCAAAGCTCTCCCTCAAGAGTTTTAACACTGCTGCATTCCCGGGCTCAGATTTAGAGCCACTTTGTTGCATAATCATACATCATATCCTACGATATCCCTCTCATCATCCCAAATGCGAAAACAAAAAAGGAAAACATTACACTGCATGTCAATACACACATTACATATAGTTTCTTATATCATAACCTTTGATCTGATCTACCACTCTGTCACTTTTAACTCCCCATTTTTCTTGTAAAACCCCAACATCCAACTTTGTCTCTTTTTACACTTAAGAAAAGAGGCTTAATCCTCAGTTCACAATGCATGTCTACTACTTGTATAAATAAAAAAAATTAAGTAAAAAATGTAAGGCCATGAACCAAGCATCAGAAGGCGGCGCAATGCGAGGGCAGACCGGTGTCGTGATGGACGGCCACGACCTCATTGGGCTTGCACTCGAGCACGTCTTGCCCCAGCTTGGCCCCCGCCGCCTTGAGCCCCTTGAGCGAGAGCGCCCGATTGAAGAGATTCAACGAGGGCAGCTTGGAGGCAGGCGGCAGCTTCCCGTTGGGCAGAAACTCCCGGAAATCCCTACGAAGCAGCGGCACCTCGAAATCCCCCTTGTCGTGCCTCACCACGTTGTCCTTTGCGCTTATGTGGGCCCCTGGCTCCATGTGGTTGGTCGAGAAGCTGGCCTGGTTCGGGAAGTTGGGGTAGAGGCTGACGTAGCCCCTGAGGTACATCATGTCTATGAGAAACTTTTTCCAGGAGGCCTGCCACCCGTTGGTCCTCGACTTGGGGATCTGTACCGGGTTCTGCTTGGCGTCCTCCGTGAAGCGCATGTTCATGTACACGTAGAACTCGCGCCACTGCTTGGGGAAGAAGACGGCACCCCAGCTGCAGGGGAGCTGGTGGAGGTAGGGCGTGTTTGGGTGGATTCGGCTGAAGAAGGCGGTGGCGTTCCACTTGGGACGCTCCTTCACGACCTCCACCAAACGGGGGGTGTAGAGGGAGATGGACGAGAGCTCCGGCAGAGAGACCTGGGGATCGTAGTGGTACGCGAGAAGGGCGTATTTGACCCACAGATAGTAGTAAGGGGAGACCTCTATGTCGTCCTCCAGGAGGAGCCCAAAGTCGTTGTCCGAGGAAGGGTACCAGCTCTCGCTCACCGCGCGGATCAGCCCACCTTGGATTATGCGCCGCCGCTGGGTCTTTGGCCCGTGGGGCCACGCAAAGGAGTCGACCATCTTAAGGGTCGCCGAGTCCACTTTGCTGTCCATGTTGAACGTGATAGGGACCTCATCACCTAGGTAGAAAGCAGCCGACAGGGAGCTGAGGAGGCGAGCCAGGGATTTGGCTCGGTTCTGGGTGATGATGCTGATCGACAACCGCATCTTGTTCCAGTCTGCGGAAGATGGAGTTTCAATGTCAACTTTGTCTGAGGTATATTATATATAACAGCAAAGTAGAAGTTCATTAAGCAAAATCTTACTAGGCAAAGCCGTCGAGCGGAGATCGGCCATCCAGAGCGCCTTGGGCACGGAAGCCCTAGGCAGAAGCACCAAAGCCGTCCCGTTCCCACCGCCCTCCATCACCATCTTTAAAGCCCTCTTCACGTTGGAGTCGATATCAGAAACGGTGACTACCACGCTGGGGTTATGCATCCTCACCAAACCTTTCATGCTCGCGTGCACCCCTTGCACAAGGGGCACCTCCGAGTCGGAACCCCCCGAGAGCGCCCCGATCCCCAGATCAAAAATCTTGAACCTTCTCTCTGTGCACACCGACTTGGGCCACTTGAGGGCCAGGGCAGCATCCTCGCAAGGGCAGAACCGCCCTCCCGACACCACAAGGTACGCCTTTTTCCCAACGGTGCTCCTGAATTTTTCGAGGAGTGGGGCAAGAGCCTTGACCTCGCCCAACGAGTGGGCATAGAAAAGGGCATCGATCTTCTGAGGGTTCATGGCGGCCCACTGGGTGATGTAGCCTGTGGTGAGGGCCTTCCACCACTGCTCGTCCCTCACCTGGACAATGTCCTTGAAGATAACGGTTGTTTCGGACACATAGGCCAGTCGGTGCTCGCTGTCCCCCCATGTCTCCTTGTCGTTGGGGTCCACGGGCAGGACGTACGAACCCGCGTTCCGGTACTTCTGGAGCTGGTAGCTGTGTGTGGGTTGCAACAGTATTGGTCAGAACTAAAATGGACCAACATATATATGTATCCTCTAAAGAATGTGTGTGGGTTGCAACTCTGATCTATTGATTATTTACTGGGAATTAACAACCTTTATTACAGATAAAGAATGTCACCTAAAATCTTTTCATTATAGTCTCTACCGAAACTAAATCATTAAAAAGCCCGAAACAAAAATTTATTTACCTCAAGTGCAAGTCCTCCCCTGTCATGAACGTGAATGGCGTCTCTATAAAAAGAGTCTTAACGAGCTCGGCCGACAAGAACCACGAGCTCGACAAGAAATCAACCTGCACGACCCTATCAATAGTGATGTCGTAAGCCGGGTCGGGCAGGTAAAGCCCAGCCTCCTTGGACCGGAACTTTCTATAGCTCGGGAATGTGAAATCCTTCTGTCGAAAGGGCAAAATTCGCCCGATGCTCCCCAATACCGAGTTCTTGTACTTGTCGGTGCCGGCCACATGCGACAGAATCTGCAGCATTTTCTTGCCGGGTATCATGTCGTCGTCGAGAATGTAGACGAGGTCGGCCTCCGTCTGCAGG